AGGAATGTAAATTCGTCGCATAATAAAATGGCGGTGTCATTTTGCGTAGACTTTTCTGCAATGATATAGGGATTGAAGAAATATTAAGGAAATGTTAGGAAGAAACGTATTTGATTGAAAAATGAAATGCGTACATATAGATCTAGCATTAGGATACGGTTTCAGAGTTGTTTTGATTAAACAGCATTTTGAAAACGCGGTTTCATATCAATGAGGGTTTCGATTTTTTAAAGATATCTTAACAAGTTATGGTGCTGTTAATAATTTTGTAAATTGAAATGTCTTCATTTTGTGGTGTGATAATATGTTATTTTTAATTCATCGATGTAATGTCTCCAGGAGGACATCGTATTAAAAATCGTAGTGAAGTTCGTTCGTATATTCTAGATATGCATAAATTTGAATGAGGGAATGAAATAATTTAGCTATAAAATGTTGTCAACCCGCTTTTAAGAAATAAAACCGAATGATGTTAGTAATGTACGACATAAAAGAAATGCATTAAAAATGAACTGAAGTTTTGTAGGTGTCGCACATATTAAAATAATAATAAAAATGTGCATGTTACACCTATAAAAAAAACTAAAGCGCTACATGTCGCGTTCAAACTGAAATAGTTTAATATTATTATAATGACTGGTTTCAGTTAAGAGAAAACGTAAGATTTTCTTGAAAAATCAGAATTAACATATTGTGACACAAAGGAAATAGTGTGTATGTTTACTTATAAATTGATTAGGTTTATTGTATGATATGCGTTAGAAAATATTTTGAATACCCTGGTTAATTAGATGAAGTTGGTCAAAAATATAATTAAATGTTTGCGATATTGACGCTTCATTGAAAGAAAAAGTGAAAGTTTGGCGTGGGAATATTAAGTTCAAAAAGTTTTAATTGCGTCACGGGAATGCGCGATAATGCAAATGATAAATTAGGATTCAATCCGTCAAGTCTGCAATTATGAAATAGTTAGGAATTTAAATTAAACGATTTTATGTCGATTTTTCTTCAATTAAAATGGAAGCCATGTGATGAAGCCATTGTTTTATATGAGGTCACTCTGTGAAATATAAAATAGCATGCTGAGGTTACTCAATCAAAAGTCGTAAAGTTTTTGTTTAGCCGTTTTTCACACTACTTGTTCACGCGCGATAATGTGAATGATAAATTAGTATTCAATCCGTCAAGTCTGCAATTATGAAATCGTTTCAAATAATATTTCAGTTTATCTTAGTTTACATAAGTTGTCGCAAGTCAAACCATTCAATTTCAAAGATAGGTAAATTATAGAAATTGAAAAAGCCACTTGTTTAGAGAAATATTTCAATGAATTTTTCGTCAACTTATCGACTAATATAAAGCAATGTTTCAATGAATTAACGACCGACCTATTCGTTTATATTTAATTAACGCGTTTTTTGAAATGAAAAGATTTTATAATATTCCAATCAAAATTATGCTAAACTCTTGTCACGATCTCATGTAAGCACGTGTTTGCAATACATTGGCTTAATCGGATAGCAAGAACGTGAAAGGCGATACGATAACTAAAATTCTGACAATTTCAACTTGATCTGCAAAAGGTAACCGACAGCAGAAGCATGGAAATGTATATATAATGTAGGCGAAGGGATACAACACCATGAACAACAAGGTGAAATGGTAAACAGCGAATACATACATCTTTGGAGTATTGATCTGGATATCAGTGCTGATAGCACTCAATTTTGCCGTGCTCGTCTCTGTCTTCAAAGTCGTTTGTTAACTTATACTATTTTTTCAATAGATTTTCGTAGAAAACCTAAACAACTTACCTATGTCTGTACTAATTAGAGAGTTGGACGTTAATGACTTTGAGCACTTGCAGCGTATAGTTGAAAACAATTATGAAGAAAAAGTGATTGAGGAGATTGAAAATTGCCAAGTGGTTATGGAAGAAGGTTTCAAAATGATAGGAGAACTTCTTTATACAAAGAAACCAAATAGAGCTGCAATGACAACCAATGTTCAAACGAAGAATCTTGGCAAAAGATCGAATCATGGTAACATAACGGTAAATTACTACCGAATGATGTACATCAGATTTGGCACAAGAATGTCAGTGTTAATGGTAGAAGCTAAGATGGAGGCTATTGTTCTGCGATTGGAAAACAGGCTCCAAATGGGACAACATGTAACAGTGATCGATCCAACATGTCGGAGCGAATGGCGAGGTCTGCCCGTCATTAAGACAATACATCCTATCCTACCTGCAACAGCTCCTCAGGTCCCAAATATTATGAAACTGCCAGAAGGGTTACTGGAAACGACCACAATGCAATCATTCTGTTTTGAAGTGGACCACATAAGAGTGGTACACGCCAATTTTGTGGAAAGCTGCGATCACAGGTATTGCGACGGACGTTACGGAATTGAATGTCCAGCCAGTACCGTTGACATGAAAATGTGTGTTGTAAGAATTGGGATTGACATTCCGGGACTTGACGTGGAATGGGAGCCTTACAGTAGCAGAACGATCGCTCTTGCCGTTTTCGATCATTCACTCTTGAAGGTGACTCCAAGTAAATTGAATTATATTGAAATGTTGCGGTTTTTGAAGAATGCATTGCGACTACACAAACGATTCCGTGTATTAGGTTGGTTCAGGCCGGGAAAAAGTGGATCGGACACTCTGACAAGCAGTTTCAAACTGCACATAAGCGAGCTCAAAATACTTGGTGCCAAATTGCCACGGTGGGGAAGCGGAGACCTTGTGTTGTCGGAGGGCCATAATGCGCCTCCCAAAAGAGCACGAACCAATGAACAATCTAGTTCTAGTTCTTAGAAAATGTATGCTTTATTTCTCATTTAAAAATTTTATTTTCTCCGTGTGATTTGTGTCGAATCTACGTATGCCAGCATAATACAACTTATACAAATTTGTACTTGCATTACTTATATATAAAATAGAAGTGGTTTTATGTGCAAAAAGAGCTTTCGTTATTGATGTGTAATTCGTGACAGTGGACTGGTCTTTTCGTTTTGTGCTAGTGGCGTTTTGAAGTCGTGAGTGAGTAATATTTACAGGTTATTTCCATTGCGACTTTCATTAAGGTACGTCCGAGATTCAAAAAAATTTGAAGTGCCTGACAAGCCAGTTTGACAGCGTTTAAGCATTTCAAGCTATCATTTTTTAATAAGTCTAGAAAATTAAAAAATCGAGTCATACACTTAAAACGCGTTCCATGTTTGGCCTATACAAGGTAATTGAAGATCAGACAAAAAATGTTCGTCACGGTGGAGTGAACACGGGCCCTAAAATTGCTAGAAGTCGACATCCATCAGGAATTGTCAGTTTATGATGTGTTATTTGAACTACTTAACGAACTAAAGTGGCTGGGGGCCACGCGCCGGACGAATTTCCGCCATTCGTCCGGCGCAACGACCCTGGTGCTTCCATCAAACTCATAATGAAACATCCGCTTGTTATACTCAAATCTCTTCCTTACATTTCCCCTCGCGGGTAGCGCAGCGACCTTCCCCTGGATGGTCAGGCAAACTTGTAGCACTGAAAGTGCGTATGCACAGTAATGGTCAGGGAACTTTGCACGTAGGGCAAAAATAATGTGACGAAGTCTCTTGGCTGAGACCCATCGAGTTACCATTTCCCAGGAAACTGGCGGGCCGATCGGGACGAAACTTGGCATGTAGTAGGGTGCAGTTACCAAACTAACAAATAAAATTTTTCAGAAAGATCGGGCCAAAGGAAGTGGGCCAAAACGGGCTTTTGGTGGCCCAAATTTAAGGTTGCGTGACATTAATTATTTCAGGCTGTCAATCAAGTAACGCAAGAGTGAGTTTGGGGTTCAGAAGCCGTTTAGCTGCGTTTCCGGGGCCAAGAGGGGTTTGCCCGAGTATTGGGTTTTATTTCAAGTGTAATTGGGGGTGGGGGCACTGCCACCGCCCCCCCAGTGGTGAGAAAACGTGTGGAAAGCCACGCCCACTTAGGTAATATCGTTTTTGGGCTATTAGGAGCACTTGGAATTGGTTTTTGGGCAAAGTGATGCTTATATCTCAAAGGGACTAATATATAGAATATTTTACCACCTGAATCTTGGGACTTCCCCCTCCCAATCGCCCTCCAGTGGCGTAAGAAGGGTGCGCACCTAAAAATGAAGCTATCGAGAAATAAAATAGACAGGTATGTTGGGAAAATTTAGTTTAATGCTTTTTTCAAGAAATTTTTTTTCTCTCACTCCCCAGTCATGGTCTAGTGATTTTGGCTTATTGCAGGCCTCTGAAAGGACCTGTTGAGAAAGTAAAGGCATGGGCATGTTTAGAAAAATTATTTGAATCTATTTTGAAAGAAATTTTATTTCTCCATCTCCTCAGTCACGCTCCAGTGACTTCACGTTATATCTCGAGAATGGTAGAAGGTAGAGGTGCCATATTCGGGTCATACAAGGTAGTTAAGGTCTAGTTTATGTCAAAAAAATTTCGTCACGGTTGAGTGATCACGGACCTTAAAATTGGAAAAATGCGACTCCGGTTAGGGGTGATCAGTTTATTACAGGGTATTTGAACTTCTTAATGGACTAGAGTAGTCGGGGGCACAGCGCCGGACGAATTTCCGTCATTCGTCCGGCGCAACGACCCGGGTCCTCCAACAAACTTCAAACAAACATTAATTTACTAAAACTTAATTTACTAAAAATATTTCCATACATTTCCCCTCGCGGGTAGCGCAGCGACCTTCCCCTGGATTTTAGATTCCAAATTTTACTAGATTGTAAACAAAATATCTAGATCTAGCTATAATACACCTCCAGCGACAGCACCAATGTAGGGTAGTAAGCAGTGAATATTAGACTTTGGAAAAATATATTTGAATGGTTAGTAAAATCGACTAATTTTCCCTCTCATTTATTATCGTTTTCAATCACCTGAATTCGCTACACTATCGATTCTGTATGACGACATAATGAACAAGTTGGTACGAATAAATTTTATTTTCATTCAAGATAAACAGCGATATCCAAACTAGAGACCGCTCGTCTACGCATTACCTCACAAGTGTGAAGTCCAAGAACCTGGATTCCTACAAGGAGGAGAAGAAGTCCAAGAAGATATTATAAATTCCAAATTATAAATCGTGGTAACTGTTTGCAATTTGCGATAGTCAGAATTATAAGATGTTATCTCTTAAAATAGAGAACAAACTTACAATAAAAGATGTGAGTTTAGCTTTTTTATTTAGGCCGTAACTTCCTGTACGCTGATAAGGGAGAAATTTATTGCTTTCACACAACGATAGTAATGTTTCGTTTGTTTTAGAATCGTTCAATACTTGAATACAAACTCATATCTGCAGGTTAGCATATATACCCTTCAAGCGCAATATCTTAGATATGTTTTGTTTCAGACTATTTTGAAATCAGGAATTTTTATTCGTATTTTATTGCAAATTGTCACCATTGATTTCCTTTATCATATATTTATATTATGTTACGACTTAGCGACGAACTTATGTACGAAGTTATAAATTTGTTTAAACTAGTGCATATTTGAATTATTTTGATTGATTCCAATTACATTACGGTTATATGGTAGTATCCACTCAATCGCGTTACTGTGCAGAGATAATTTAATCCTGGGAAGTTGTTTTCGTTCGAACCAAAGGCTACGAGGCCAGCCTACATTAAACGCTAGCAAAAACAGTAGTCGAGGCTTCTATCGCAAACTTGAAAATATATTTCTCTCCCAAAACCTATCCGTTTCTCAACGTACTTCGAGTTTGTAGACAGCAAATAATGTGCTAAGCTTATAACAGAATAGAAAAAAAAATGAACAGATTTTTAATAAGATTTTTTTCCAAATATGATAAGAAAACATATTATTTATTATTTTAGATCACGACTAACCCAATATAAGGATACTATGAACATCGTAGAACAATTGTATTAAGATAAGAATTCAATATAGCATTATATTATATAAAAGTTCGATACATTACCAAAAAAATATTTGACAATGGCTAACTGCTATAACCATTCATAGAAATCCTATTGAGCTGGGCCATTCCACTACCCAATACGAAATTATTCTCATCAATTCACAGCAAATGTATGATAAAGTTTTATATTGGATTGCGTTTCTAGATTAAAATCAAAATCATTCCAAGCAACCTTGCAAGGTCTTAGTGATGGGACAACATCCCACTATTAGCCAAACGTATTTTTTTTCAGTCAATTTCACTAAAAGGATTAACAGTATTATGGAACGAGTGGCGTTAGTCAGATTGATAGAATCCATGTCGAAGAGAGCAGTCAAATCATCAGAGTCAGTGACTGTTGTTGCCTAATGTAATGGCTGATCAACTTAATCGCAAATCAGTGGTTGTAGACCTTTGAAAACACGTCCACGAAATAAGTCATGTCCCAAATCAAAACGATTTATTCCCAGGATTTTGTACCACGAGTTTCTGTCCCAATAGCATTAAAATTAGAATCGGTATAATTTCTTGATAAACAGTCAACACGATGATACTTGAATATGAATCGAGTGGGTTATCTCCTGAAACAATAAACTTAATCATTTATATATCATTTTTCATTTATATATTTCCGTTTAATCATTTTTAAGTACACATTACGGAACTTCGGTTCTGTTTTTCACAATGTCTTCAACAGTCATAGGATGGCAGTCATTTGGCAGTCAAAATAGGGCAGCCTATAATTTGAGAATTTTGTTACACGTTTCGAAGTTATGGTGAGTTTCAATAATTGTTATTTGAGTCACTTCTCGATTTACTACAAGAACTCTGTACGCTCTTCGTGTTTTGGTAAGTCCTACAGACTCAAGAACTAAAAATTAGGATATTTTCAAACACTGATCAGTTAACTCCGGTCAATTGATGTAGATTATTCATGAATTATGGGCCATAGGCTTATAAAAGCTTTTTTAATATTCGTTATAAGGTTAGCACACAGTACACAGAAGGTCATCAAACTTATCTTGTTATTTAAATATTTAAATTATATTCTTGAATACCTTCTTGTGTCAATTTACGCTGTCTCAATTTATAATTGATATTGATTTTTTGCATTTGTTATAAAGTACTAGAACGTTGTTGATACATCCCATTATAATAAATATTCAGCAAATTTCTTTGCTTTGACTTCTTTCGTACGAAATATCGACTTGAACTATTTGCTAGCTCACCTAATGACCCTCTCTTCAAATAGATACTTTTTGTGATATTGTTTATACAAACTCTCTTGAAGCAAGCGAACACAAAAGTTTTTCGAGGTAAATTATCATAAGCTATTTGATCTTGCTGCAGATATTTTGCGAGCGTGAAAATTCTGATTATACGGTCATTTATCAAACGATTAATCCTACTATCGCTATCTCTCTGTTTCAAATTTTTTTAATTTTCTATCCTTTCACCTGCTTGTGAATTTATTCTTTATGACATCATAACGAGAATATCGGTCAGAGACCGAAGACTTATCGATCGGAAAGTTAGGGGATCCCCCAAAACAGCGCTCTTACTCCATAGTGACACCTTGTGTCCCATCACTAATTAATTCTGATTAATAACTCGCTAATTATACGACATAATTCGCCCAAAATCAATAGGCTTCCGGTCCGAGATATGATGAATGCACATGCAAAATCTGGAGCAGATTTAATCTCGCTTTCGTGAGATATCGCGTGCATCTAACAGACAGACAGACAGACAAATACCTATCAACATACTTACCGATTAAAATCGATAAGTAATGAGTGGAACAAACATAATATAACCTTTTTTTTATTCTAGAATCTAAAAACAAGTGATACACTGAAAGCACAGCTCACCTACCCGCATTTCCGACAAATGTGGAGTCTGAAAAAGACACCAAATTTCTTATGACGAAGAAGATCAACAAGATAAACAGAGAGAAAAAGTATAATAAAAGATGTGAGTTCAGCATTCTAATTAGTCTATTTTGTAACTTTCGGGAAGCCGATAAAGAAAGTTTTTATCGGTTTATCGGAGACATTTGACAACGCGTTCAATATGCAAGGGCTACTAAACTAAACGATTTATTATTATTAATTACAAGCAAAATGGCCCGGCTTCTTGTCTGTGTCTCAGCTTGGATGTCCCAATACAATTCAACATAGAACCGTTGCAATTTTTTGAAAATACGACAACAAGATGATACACCAAATTGAATCTGGAGAGTTATCTGCTAAAACAATAAACATAATAAGCAACATATTGGCATAAAATCATTTACAGATTGAAATCATACAATATATACAGTATATAGATACCGCATATGTTCTGAGTCTTCAGCGAAGTATATTCCAAAGTAACTTTAATTCAGCTTGTATGACTAAATTGGCAAACCTGCAGTGTTAGCCTACTATGCTAATTTGCTTATTATACAGTCTCCAACCTGCAGCCAAACTTGTTTTTCATTCGCAATTGAGAACGTTTATGTTGACCTCAAGTTTATTTTAATACATACTGTTATTTCTTTCTGCTAACTCACGAATACTTACGATCATTGGACACAAAAAACACTGATTTACAACAAATACTAAGCCAGACTGAACCAAGTCGTCTGATCAGCGCGCTTCCAATTTAGCAATTATCGAGATTGATTGGCAAAACTATGGACATACCACTTTGTTCCGTCAGATACGACCACATTGGCTGCCTAACACGTCAAATATCTTCATAAATAATATATGTCAGCGATTGTTAAGCGATTGTTCCGCGGAGCACTGGTGTCCGTGATAGGCATTCAGGTGTTCTTGGTCTTGATGCCTTTCTATTTGCCAGACCAGTAATTTCCGTTCAGGTAGATGCAACCATGAGAGTCTCACAAGAATACTTTCCTTTCTTGCGCTTCTCCAAGATTCGCTAGATACGCCCACATTGTCTGCGTGAAAACGTCAAACGTCATCGCAAATAACATATGTCAGTGATTATCAACCGATATTTCGCGTAACACTGATGTTCCGCGCCATGCGTTCGTGTATTTCGTGGGGTTAACGCTTTCCTATTTGCATGACCGTTAATTGCCGTTAAAGCATATATTGTAGTCATGAGAGGCCCACCAGGGTACTTTCGTTTTGCGCAATATATAAAAGATATCTCCGTGGTTTCCACTAAAAATTTGTTTGAAGCGTCTTAGCGATTACGTACTGGCCGGCAGTGACCGTTTTGATGTAATGTACCATAACTAAAATAAGTCCGTGGGCATCACAAAGTTGCGTGCAACACGAGAGGATGCTTTCCCTGTATTTGCATTGCGGGTCCGCGTTAATATCCGTTCATTACCGGTGGCTCCGTCAAGCGCCTATGGCAACCGCCGGGGGTTTCGGCGATGGAATTTTGATAATGAAATTTGACTTTGAAAAAATATTTTGAATGGTTAATAAAATCGACTAATCTTCACTCTCATTTATCATCGTTTTCAAATCAACTGAATTTGCTATACTATTGGTTCTGTATGGCGACATAATGAACAGAAACGGAACGAATAAATTTTGTTATTTTTCATTCAAGATAACAGCAATATCCAAACTAGCGACCACTCGTTTACCGCATCACGTCACAAGTGTGAAGTCCAATAACCTAAATTCCTACAAGGAGGAGAAGGAGGCCAGCAAGATATACACTATGTAGAGAACAAACTTACAAGAAAAGATGTGAGTTTAGATTTTTTATTTAGACCGTAACTTCATGTACGCTGATGAGGGAAAAATTTAATGCTTCCACACAACGATAGTAAAGTTTCGTTTGTTTTAGAATCACTCAATACTTGATCACAAGGTCCTATCTGTAGGTTAGTATATATATCTTTCAAGTGCAATATCTTAGATATGTTTTGTTTCAGACTATTTTGAAATCAGGAATTTTCATTCGTATTTTATTGCAAATTGTCACCATTGATTTTCTTTATCATATATTTATATTATGTTACGACTTAGCGACGAACTTATGTACGAAGTTATTAATTCGTTTAAACTAGTGCATATTTGAATTATTTTGATTTATTCCAAACACATTACGGTTATATGGTAGTATATACTCAATCGCGTTACTGTGCGAAAATAATTTAATCCTGGGAAGTTGTTTTTGTTCGAACCAAAGGCTACGCGGCCAGCCTACATTAAACTCTAACAAAAACAGTAGTCGAGGCTTCTATCGCAAACTTGAAAATATATTTCTCTCCCAAAACCTATCCGTTCCTCAACGTACTTCGAGTTTGTAGACAGCAAATAATGTGCTAAAATAATGAATAGATGTGATAAAAAAAAATGTTTACCAAAATAATATTTCAGATCACCGCTAACCCAATATAAGTATATTATGAACATCGTAGAACAACTTTATTAAGATAAGAATTCAATATAGCATTTTATTATATAAAAGTTCAAAAGATTTCTAAAAAAACATTTGACAATTCATAGAATCCTATTTGAGCTGGGCCATTCCACTACCCAATACGAAGTTATTCTCGCCAACTCACAGTAAATGTATGGTAAACTTTCGTATTGGATTGCGTTTCTACATTAAAATCAATATCATTCCAGGCAACCTTGCAAGGTCTCAGTGATAGACTATTGCACCTCGAACAACATCCCAGTATTATTAGTCAAAGGTATTTTTTTAAATTCAATTCCATTAAAAATGCGTCACTATGCAGGGATAACAGTATTATTGAACGAGTGGCGTTAGTCAGATTCAGAGAATCCATGTCGAAGAGAGCAGTCAAATCATCAAAGTCACTCAGTAACTGTTGCTGCCTAATGTAATGGCTGATCATCTCAAACCCAAATCATGTAGACCTTAGAAAACAAGCCCAAGAAATAAATTAGTGCCAAACCTAAACGATTTATTCCCATAATCTTACCTTGAATTCTGTCCCAATGGCATTAAATTAGAATCGGTGTAATTGTTGATAAACAGTCAACATATGATACTTGAATAGGAATCGGGAGAGTTATCTCCTGAACAAATAAACTTAATCATTATATATCATTTTTCATTACATATTTCCATCAATCATTTAAGTACACATTACGAAACTGCGGTTCTGTTTTTCCCAATGTCTTCAACAGTCATGATAGTAAGCTGTGAATATAGATTGAAAAAATATATTTGATGGTTAGTAAAATCGACTAAACTTCCCTCTCATTTATTATCGTTTCAATCACCTGAATTCGCTACACTATCGGTTCTGTATGACGACATAATGAACAAGTCGGAACGAATAAATTTATTTTCATTCAAGATAATAAGCGATATCCAAACTAGCGACCGCCGTCTACGCATTACCTCACAAGTGTGAAGTCCAAGAACCTGGATTCCTACAAGGAGGAGAGAAGTCCAAGAAGATATACACTACAAGAACAAACTTACAAGAAAAATGTGAGTTTAGCTTTTTTATTTAGGCCGTAACTTCCTGTACGCTGATAAGGGAGAAATTATTGCTTTCACAC